GTATCGGGGGGCTGCGGCGTGGGCGGAAGCTGCCGGTGCTGTTTGATCAGGGCACCGATCACCAGGGTCACTGCCACCCAGTTTTCCTCATGCTGCCATTTAACAGCAAGTGGGATATTTCTCCCCCCCAAGTGAATATTAGTTCTTTATTAGTTCAGGATACAGTTGCTAATTAGTGCCCACGCAAACGGGCATTGCACCTTCGCAAACACCGCACAGCAGCTGGGGGTGCTGGGGAATGATGTGTGACTGGGGGCAGAGGGGTCGTGGTGATACCCCCTCACCCCCCCAACAGCAAAGAATTTCAACTTTCAGACAAACAACTTCATTTACAAGTGTGTCTCTAATTAGCTGCAGAATTAGTAAAGCAGAGTTTTCCCCCCATAGATCGGCCAAAGCCCTGAGGGAGGCTGTGGAATAGAGAGAATCGCATTTCCAATTATTTTGTTGAATTGCTAATTTAGTTATTGTGCCTGGCGTAATTGTGATGGGTATTGGGTGTGCAATTCAATTTGTTTTAAATATTTGTGGGAAGGCTGATCAGTAATGGAGCTGACCTATTTCATGGCCCAAATTGAGAGAAGAGAGTAAAACAAAAAACAGCTACAAAGCCACAGTTGGTCTCAGTTTTTATTTTGATGTCTCTCATCCCTCTTAAGACTGTTGATGCAACAAAAGGTTTACATTAGAAGATGATGGCACTTTGATCTCAGGCTTTTGAGAGCTTACAGCTTTGGTACTTCTTTTCTTGGCATTTTAATATGTAGATATTTTAAGCTAAAGAGTTTTAAATGTGTTTCTGGAGTTCAGTAGGGTCCTTCCCCTCACCCACCCCCATTACACTGTATTTGTTAAGGTGATTTATGTTTTTAACCGTCGGGATTCTGGTTTGAGAAATGCTGGCGCTGTTTGCCCCTGTGTCCCTTGAACACGTCACTCCAACGCTCCCTGTTAATGGGGGATCTTCTGGAGGGTGTTGGTTTGTCCCGAGCTGCCGGGGGGCAGGGACAGACCCCTCCCGCCCTGGTCTGGGTCCTGGGGCTCCTGCTGCCCCAGTCCCTGCCGACGGCACAGCTCTGGGAGGGGTTCCTGGAAGTTCTCTTCCCTGGGGCTGGGCTTTTCCCTTCTGGTTCAGCCACTGTAACATTAAAGAAAATCAATCCCTGGAGGAGGATCAGGGCTCACTAAGGGCTCGCTGGGATGGCGGCCGTGGGCTGGCAGTTACACCAGACCCTGACCAATTAACCGAGGAGCTGGTCCCT